TGTATTTTATAGAAATATTAATTTATAATGTTGAAGGGCCCATAAATTTATCTTATTATCAAAATTATTAATTTAGATCTTAGGCTAAGTCGGGACCAAAACAATTATGGCTTTAAGGGTTACTTATGCCTATGTAGTAGACTTAATTTACCATTTTCGTTCCTATAATATTTTCGCATCAATTTAACCCTCGAAAGTTGTTTAGTTGCATCAATGTTTAAAATATTTACTATTGTTTAGGTTTTAAGTTAGAGTTTAAAGATTAATGTGTAGGGTTTATGATTTAAGGCTTTAAGTTAATTTTAGGGTCCATGTTTAGGATAATGTAATTAAACAACTTGGAGGGCTTAAATTATTGCAAAAATATCATAGGGACAAAAATGATAAATTGAGTCTATTACATGTATAGAAGTAACTCTTAAATAAAAAATTATTATTTTAGAGAGATTATTTGTAATACCCAAATATCAAGCCAGTGACTTTATTGAAAAGATTTAAAATTTAAAGACTCAATTATATAAATGATAAAAAGATAGGAAATGATTGGAATAGTGTTTATGACCAATTTGTATAAATGAATGAATATAGAGGGTATTTAGGTCCTTTAAGGAGAAATAAATTTAAAATTCATTCCTTATTAGGGATTTAGGAAGAAAAAGGGGAAAGTTAAACCATTAGGATTATCTCTTTTTTTCTTCCCCGTTCAAGGACCATCCTCATAGCCAAAGGTAAGATTTAATTTAACCAGATCTTCTTCTTGTTTTTGGGTTGTTGTTGGAACATTGAGTATTATGGAAGCTTAAGGAAGGGTTAAGTAAGATTAAAACTAGGAGATGGTTGAAATATTTGAGATTGAAGAAAATGTGCTTTTGAATGTATGTTAGGATATGAGTTTTTACTGATGTTTATTAGTATATTTGACTTGTGAAAGAAGTAAATAAGAGATTAGAAGCATGGGGTGGGATTAAGAACATGTTAGAAAAAGTGGTATGATTATTGGGTAGAATTGTTCTTTGGAAGTTTGAGATGTTATAAGAAGTTAAATAAGGGAAGTTAGCTAGGATAAGTAAAGAAGAGTTTAATGGTATTGGTGGGTGTAAATATAAGGAAATTTGATCAAATTTGGGTAAGATTCGGGTTGAAAAATGGAAAATCTGGGTTAGGGTATCGATACTGATAGAACAGTACCGATACTATAGGCTTAAAATTGGATAAATCAGCTAAGTAGTATCGATACTAATGTAAGTAGTATCGATACCAATAGGGGGTATCGATACTATGAAGAAGGTATCGATCCCATTGATAACAGAATGCAGAAATGGTATCGGTACCGTAATAGAGTATCGGTACCATAGTATAGTAGTATCGATACCATAATATAGAAGTATCGATACCATGGTATGAGTATCGATACTATTGAGCTAGAAATTTTAAGATAGACTGAGATTGTTATAGAAAATTTAATAATAGTATTTTTGAGTAATGTTTATGTATAAATGTTAGGGAATATACTAACAATTTATATTGTACATGTCTTTAATGGATGCTTAAGTAGATCGAAATCAAGTTCCCGAGTCAAGCAAAACGAAAGGCAAAGGCAAAGTAGCAAAGTAATCAGAATTACGTTTTGGTTATAATAGCGAGGCAAGCCAAGTGAGTCCATTTATTATGTACATATATGTGATGACAGTCATAGACGTATGATTGCTTAATATATGTATGGTGATTACCAAATGACACTTTGCGTGCAAAACTAAGAAATTCATAATAAGTTTATGAATTTCTGTATGGGCACTTTGTGTGCAAAATTAAGAAATTCATAATAAGTTTATGAATTTCCGTATGGGCACTTTGTGTGAAAAACTAAGAAATTTATAATAAGTTTATGAATTTCCATATTGGTAGTGGGTGTACAACCCACGTAAATTATAATAACTTTGTGAATTACCGTATTGGCATTACGTGTGCAAACTATAGAGTTTATAATGAATTGAAAAATCTAATTGATATTATAAATAATTATTAGAGTAGAAATTGTTCTAAAATAAAAGACTAAATGCCTAACTGTGCATTTGGCAGAAAGGTGCCAATAATGCAAGTTAGAAGAAATGTTAAAAGCCTTTAGGATAAAAGACTAATGCCTAACAGTGCATTTTGGCAAAAATGTGCCACTAATACAAGTTAGATGAAGAACAGTGCATAATTGGCATGAAATTATGACATAAATGAAAATGTATAACAGTGAATAATTGGCATGAAATGATGCCACATATAAAAATACATAGCGGTATATTAATGGTATATTAGGTGTCGCTCATTGATAATTAGAAAAGATAAAGGACCATTTGGAACTTTGGTGCAATATTTGTACAATACTTTCTCATTTAACGTACATAGGGCAAATAAAGAATAATTGGGAAAAATATATCGAATGATAGGTATGCTGGGACTACTAAGAATGATTTCGATGATTGTATGAAAGAAAAATATGGTTTAACCGAGAATGATTTATCTTATCCTTGTGGAGTATGTGATTTAATTCATCATTAAATAGTCACGAGATACTTATGTATAAATTACAGATTAATTACATATTATGTCTCACTAAGTATATACTAATGTGTGTTGATTTTACGCGTAGGTAACAACAAAGACTAGTCGGTACTGGGAGCAGGAGCAACTATCATCAATCTAAGGTTGACTCTCATCAGTAACAGTAGGACAATCATGTTAATTATGAAAAATTACTGACATGTAATCGAAATTAAGAAAAGTTGCTCTAGGATGTATTTAAAGTGATAACTTTGGTAATAGTTTTCAACAACTGTTTTATTGTTGTATAAAAATGTTTTTGGTTTTAAATTTCAAGACAAAATTTTACGGGTTTTCAAATGGGAAAATGCTTTAAAAATGATATGACATTTGTATCTCGTGTACGGAAAGATATACGGGAGATGGGTGTTACATTATTACTTTATCGAATTACTATACTATTTCTATACACATAATACAGTAAAACTTATATTATGCCACCCTGAGTTTTACAACAAAGAATGGTAAGAAAATTGCTCTATTTCACATCTGACCTTGCAGTTGCACCAGTAAACTCTGCATGCTATCTAGTTTCTGTCTCATTTCTTTAATATTCAAACGATGAATCGGATAATTCAGTAACGAAAGTAGCACACTTGGTCTTTGAACCCAAAATTACCTCCTCAAGCAAAACCACAGTTGAGAGCTGGTCTTCATTTATCATTTTTGATAATGGAGACTGTCCCAAACTTCCAGCACTGCCTCCTCATTTGAGCTTTATCCGATGAGAAAATCTTGTCGAAACCCTCAATCCCAATCAAAGGTTTGTGACATTGTCGCAGACAAATTTGTTGTCTTCAGCAACTAGAGACTGATTTTGAAGTGAAAAACTTTGCACACAGCCGGGGTTCTACGCAAGCTGCTAGAAAAATATAAAATGTACTGGATGCATCTTGAGTTTTACTTATACGAAATTTTAAAATGTTTATTCGAAGTACTATATATATATATATTGTATTCAGTGCAATGTCATCTTGGTCCCTTTTTTCTTTATTTATTAAAGTTAGTCTGGTTGGCCCGTCTAGCAATAAAGCTGCAGGGCACTAATCCCATATGGACAATAAACAGCACCCCGCATTCCAGAAAAAGTATAAATATCCGCAAATTAAACTCAGAGTAGCACGCAGCCATACAGTGAGCACAAAGCGAACTATTCTTTCGCCTTTTACTAAAGAATACCGTGTGCTCACTGCTCAAAGTGGCATACGCCTATTTTTGGAGGGTTTTTTCTTTGGAATAAGCCCTAAAATCTGAGTTTAAGAGTTTAACTTTTCGATATATATTGGTTTTTCAAGGCCTGTAATTTCAGTAAGAAAATTGAGTTTTTAAGAGATCACTTTTCTGTATTTCTATAGAAACATTGGTTGTTTCTTCAGCATGAGTAGAGTTGTGATCTATGTTTGGTTCTTCCCCAAGAAGAGGACTTGTTTGAGCAATCATGGAAATCAGTTTCGAAAGGTTGTGTATAGGCTCCTGTTGGATCCTACAAGTTAGAGCTGAAGGTACTGTCTCGAATGTTAATGGTGATTTATAAAAGAAAAAGCTCTACCTTTTTTGCTCCCTTAAAGTTGTATTTTCATAAAAGAATATGGTATTCAACTTGCTAACCCCGAGTTTTACTGACGAGCACAGTCCGTATTCAACTTGCTCCATCCACATGGAGGCGCTTGCCTGGCGATTCGACTAATCTGCCATTTAGCTCTTGATTCCAATGCACGATTGGCCTCGAGACATAATCAGTTGCTCTCTCTCACCCAATTCTCGAAAATCTTCCATTTAGCTCTTGATCAAATACCTCTTTATTTCGTTGGGTCCATAAACACCAAATAACCTACCCAAACATCATATATCTCAAGGAAAGTAATCTAGGTTCTATAGTGAGGGTCGAATTTGTCAAATATATAAATACTTTAATCTCAAATAAAGAATAAAGGTATTATAGAGAAGTAGAGATCGAACTACAGAGACTGAGGAAGTCTAAATAAATTGTTTATTTCGACTGAGTTTTAAATGCAAAAATAAAAATGGAGGGTTTACAAAATTATGAAAGTAATAAAATAATAAAAATAAATAAAATAAATTGAGAAAATAAATATAACTTTCCTTTCGTAATGTATGTTGATTACTGTTAGTATGGCTCAACAGCTCCAACTAATTTTTCTCAATAGTTAACCGAAATTTCAAAGTCTATCTATGAAATCCGATTTTTATTGGTCTAATCACGTCTATCATCGTTAGATCCAAAATAGCTTTAAGTTCTACAAAACTCCGACTCGAGTTATAGCATCTCATAGAGAATCGAACTCGATCTTGATCCCCTTAACGGATCGCCACTAAGTTTGTTAACAGGAAACTAAATTACAACTAACCGATCCGACTTTCAAACTTTAAGCAAAACAGACTTTAAATCAACGTGCACCTTTTGAGTTTAAGATATAATAACTTTTAAAAGAATGTTCGATTGTCACTCAAAGTTTTCTGAGAGTCGAAGAATACAATATAAAGGTATGAAGATCAAGACTCAATTCCCACAATTAGAATTGAGCTTCACAAAAACCTTCAACTAAGTGTAAGTTTAATTGAGCATGGATTGGATCATGCTTAAATTGTGAAAAGAAAATAATGAAAGAAAAAAAAGGAAAAAAAGTAGAAATGAAAGGAAAAACATAACTTACGTTCCAGTAGTGGATCAAATAGTAGATGTTCTCACTAAGCCTCTGTCAGCACCTTTCTTTGTTCGACTTAGAGAACAACTTAGGGTTGTTTCAACTGATGAGTTAAGATCGCTGGGTGTCAATAACGTGTTTCAACTTAGAGTTCTGTTGCAATTCTGTTATGTCGTTATGAGTTTAGTTATGATAGCTTGAATGTTGTTGAATAAGGAAGATAGACTGATTTTGAGGTTCTCTCTAGCTAGCTCCTGTAATCTTTCATGATCTAATTATAAAAATATGTCTCTTCTATTCAAACTCGACTCCAGAAATACTCCTACATCCTGTTAGTACATGCTCAGAGTTGCATATTAACATACTCGAATTCCAAACTCTACCTTAAAAATAACTTTACACCCAAATCAAGCTTGACTTGAGAAGTATATCTTCTCCGTCCGAATCAGATTCAACCTGAATTTTGAGATAAAGTCCTATTATAAATTGTGGACAAGCTTAAGGGAATTTTGGGTTACATTGAAGAAGATGTTGTCTCCACAGATTTTCATAGGTGACTGCAGGTAAGTTTCATGTAACGGCTTCTAGTTGCTCTACAGTTTATTTATATAAATTCCGAAAATTTTCTGAAATCGAACGTTGACGTAGGTCGAGCATATTCGATGCCATGGCCGGTATTGCTCGGAACGAGAACTTGGTGAAACTCGTTTCCTGGTATGACAACTAATGGGGTTAGAGGTAAAGAGGCATGCGTTCATTTTTATCTCCTTTTGAAGTCTGGCATTTTGGAATTCTGGTTATTTTGACAAAGCTTGTATTGTTTTGCAGTTCTCGTTGGACTGATTTGATCGTGCATATGGCATCCACCCGAGCATGTTGAAGTTGTGTTTGAAAGCAGCTGGCTGCTTGTTATTTGGAATAAAACCAAAGATTTGATCCATTTTTGAAGGTGTAGATGAACTATTTTACCAGTTTCATGGTATGAAGTAAACGGTGTCTATAATTATATTATCTATTATTGCTCCGTTTCCGCAACAAAACTAGAGGGGGTTTAATGCAAAACATCCAACGTCGCCTGAGAGATTCGAACTCTCGCGGGAAAATCCCATGTACTTAGCAGGCACACGCCTTAACCACTCGGCCAAAGCGACTCAGTTGCTTTTTGCGAAGAGAGCCAAATTGAATTCTTAATTGATTCAACCGATTTGAATTTTTACTAATTGAATCATCACATTGGATATCAATCAAACTTAACCACTCCACCCTAAGTAATTGATTTCCAAGATCTTCCCAAAACTCTTGTTCTTTTTATTCAGGTAAAATATGTTGCATTTTATTCTTTTAATTTAATTTTAGCCAAGTTTTTATTCTTTTAATTCGACATTTAAGAATGAAATTAAGGGGGGGAAAGCAAATTTTAATTTTGATTAGAACCCACATTTAATAAGATTTGTCCTTTTTAACTAGTGATTTCATCTTTTGTTTGTCTCATCCTGTGTATGGGAGATGTTTGATAGAATGCCTGAACCAATATGGAATTCTAAGTTCATTTGTGCAATGTAATTGTAGTGTGATCAAACTTGTTCATATGTTCGTCACATCATGGCTGCCATCATATATTGGTTAACAGATTAGTTACATATGTCAGCATTTCTCATCGAAATTTAGTTTGAAACTAAATAATAGTACGACTTTGCATGATCCAAGTGATATCAATGGTTAGAGCGATGATTGTTTTTCATAGTAATCCTGAGTTCGAGCATTAGTAACTACAAATTATTTGTTTTTTCGAACTTGCCGTTTACTTTTAGATGAAGTCGAAGCAAAGAGTCTGTATGATGCAGCTGAGAAAATTGGATTCACGAAGAAATTATGAACTTCCTCCAAGTGAGGATCAGTTCCTATTTCACCATGAAATATTCTGCTTTTACCAGCACCCTAAACATATTCTTACAACTCTCTGTATTTGACGATGAAACATGCCCGAAACTTTGGTTGTTTTTCTTACATTTTATGTTAGTATATTTTAACAGAATAAGACCAGAAAGCAAATGAAATGAAAGTTTGTATCTAATGATTTCACATGTATGATAGGAAACATGTGTCACGGGGATCATTATCCTATTTCTAAGAAACATGTATGGTAGGATGTGTACCATCGCTTATAAACTTCAGGAATTCCCTTTTCTTTTCGATGCGAGATAGATTCATATCTCGCATTTCATCTCTTCAAGACATGACATTCTCTCCACTCAATCTTATGATGTTCTGTCACAGATGTCCATCCATGGGATACATATGATAGGGATATTATTGCTTATAAATTATAAGATTTTCTTCTAAAAGATATGTATGATAAGATGTGCAATATTATCGTTTACAAGTTCTAAGATTTTCCTTTTCCTTTCCAACGTGGGATTTATCGCCCCCACCATCTTTTATCTAACGCTAATTTAGATATCGAGGTAGGCTGATTCCATATTTTCGAATAGTGCTATAGATATCCTGTAATTGTGTTAGAAGCGAATGCCTTTCAGCAATTGGAAAGTGCATAATCTGGGGCTGATGTGGCCATCAATATAGATCTAATAGTTTTTGTAAATTGTGATTTGTATTAGCTTAGATCTCATAGTTGTCTGTTGCACTTTTTTTGGTTGACAATATTGGAAACATTGGGGAGGCAGCATCACATGATCTTTGTCTGAATCTCTTGATTAAGAACTAATAAAGTAACCCTTTTACTGAAATTCATAACCTCGTGATCCAATGTATCAATCACTGCATACAATATAACAAAATCAAACACCCTCCTCTTGGCCCTGCAGGTGGAGGCTTTCATATATCCAATCCGGGGACCGGATCCGGGCCTCAACGGAATTCGTTTCTTAAGACAAGTGAATAAGCTATTTAAGTTTCGGGTTTGAAGAGATAGTATTTGATGCTGCATTATATTGAATAGTGATTAAGTTTCGGGTTTCAAGAGAGTTTTTGATGCTACATTATACTGAATAGTGATTAAGTTTAGGGTTTTAATTTTTTGATATTGTATTCGTATCACATGCGAAAGTATTCGATAGAAATCGAAATTGAAAAAGGAAGAAACGTTGAAAATGCATAAAGCAACGTTTAAGGTTCGCCATAAGAATAAATAGAAATTGATCCACCACCAATTATCACCGGTTAGATCATCAAGTACTCTAAAATATATTTGCCAAAAATGCATAAGCGGTCTATGTAATTTTGAAAAAAAAAATTATTGTGATTATCGTATTATTTTTTCTTTCAATGCGGCCATCTAACTCAAAAAATAAGTTCAATATGGCCCTTTAACCAATGTTTTTCGTCGTTAACCATTACGGTGTTGACGTGGTGATCCACGGTGATTGATAACGTAACAGATAAAATAACAAATGAGCTAAATTAATAACTCAAACATGATAGATAGATAGATTATCATGTCAGTACCGTAGATCGCCACATCAACACCGTAAACTGTCATTTTGATATTATAACGGTCAAACACCGAAAAATATTAATTATAGGGTCATTTAAATTTATTTTATGAATTAGAAATGTGACATTAAGAGAGAAAATAATACGTAAAGAATCCAAAATTGTAATCTGACAAAACTGTTAATGAAAATAGCCAAATTTCCATTAAAAGAATGAGAAGGGAATTATCATCAATTGTGCGGACTTCATCAACTGTCACCTTTCTTCTATAATCTCCCATTTTCCCAACCCTAAATTTTTCTGATCCTATTCATTCCATAATTACTCTCTTAATATTATCTTCCCATGGTGTCACGGACAAGACAAGAAGAATCTTTTCTAAAAGAATACATATTTTTTTGCACTCACTTTCTTACTTTTTTTTTCCTCCACCATAGAAATAATTAATAAAAAGAAGCAAAAATCTATGGCCGATGGGGTATTTTTCTGGTTTTTGTTTTCTTATGCAAACAGTGTGAATGTTTATCTCTAAGAAAATCCATTAAAGACACAAACTTTTCTTTCTAAACACCCTTATTTTTTCACCTTCATCTTTATCCTAATAATTCTCATAATGATTCTCTACTACTTTTAACTGCTATTAAGAATTATAAGTAGAATTTTCATGGATGTAAATATTGCCTTCTTCAAGCTTCTGTCTTTCTTCTTTTAGTTGTTTCTAAATTCTGCAGTTTTCTTTTTAACTTTGTTGGGTATTCACTGAAATCACGTGGGATCCGATAATTTTTTGGAGATTTTTTTGTGTGTGTTAAAATGCTGCCGTCTTACTTCCCTCTACAGTGGGAGAGCACCGGGGATCAATGATGGTGCGCGTCGCCGATTGATTGGGCGGCCTCCAATGGCCATTACGACCTGGTCATTGAACTCCTCCATCTCGACGCCAATCTCCTCATCAAGCTCACTTCCCTCCGCCGTATCCGCCGCCTCGAAACGGTGTGGGACGACGTCGCCAAATGCCGCTCTTTAGTCGCCAAAAGGCTTCTTCATGAGTGCGAGACCAAGAAAGGCACCAATACCTTGATAAGAGCCGGCTACGGAGGCTGATTTTTGGCACCGCCGCCTCGTCCGGTGACATGGATTTCGTCAAGCAACTGTTGGAGAGAGACCCTTTCCTTGTATTCGGAGAAGGAGAGTATGGGGTCACCGATATATTTTATGCAGCAGCCCGGAGCAGAAACGCCGAGCTCTTTACGATGCTGCTCGATTTCGCGGTGTCGTCGAGGGACAAAGAGGATGAATTGAGTGAAACTCGGTCGGTTTTTAAGTGGGAAATGATGAACAGAGCGGTTCACGCGGCGGCTAGAGGTGGCAGTTTGGAGATTTTAAGGAAGATTCTTGGGGATTCCGATGATGTTTTGGCCTATAGAGATGTGCAGGGTTCTACTATTTTGCATACTGCTTCCGGTAGAGGACAGGTTGAGGTAAGCAACTAAATCGTTTCTTTAATGTTCGAATATATCTGATCTAATGACGTAAATGAAATATAAAATTTCGATCACGTAATCTTTAATGATTAGAATTTAAATCAATATTTGATCTCTCGAATAAGGGTTCGTGTAAGTTGTTACATTTTCCGATCTCCATCGAGCTACGTCAAATTTCATCGTCTTTCATTGCAGGTAGTGAAGGATCTAGTAGCATCGTATGAGATCATAACCCCTACGGACAATCAAGGGAACACGACTCTGCATGTGGCGGCTTATCGCGGTTATTTAAAGGTCGTCGAGTTTCTTATTCAAGCGTCTCCGAGTTTGGCCTCTGCGCAGAACGATTACGGACATACTTTTCTTCATATGGCTGTTGCCGGTTTTAGAACCCCGGGATTTCGAAGAATCGACCGGCAGATCGAGTTAATGAAACGATTAGTATGCGACGAGGCTGTCGACATTCGGGATATCATCAATGTGAGGAACTCGGATGGAAGAACTGTATTGCATATGGCTTTAACCGAGAATGTTCAGTCGAGTCTGGTGGAACTACTCATGTCCGTGCCGTATATCGACGTCAATGTCCGCGATGCTGATGGCTTGACTCCATTAGATCTCCTCAAGAGAAGGCCTAATTCCGCATCCTCGGAAATTTTAATCAAAGAACTAATTGCAGCTGGAGGAATCTCTAACTGTCAAGACAATGTAGTGAGAAGTGCCATATTTTCTCATCTGAAAGAGCACGGTGTCCGTGCCAGTCCCGGAACGTCGTTTAGAGTCCCCGATGCAGAAATATTCTTGTACACCGGGTTCGAGAATGCATACGGTGCAGGTTGCGATCGAGAAAGCGTGGGACATAGTTCATGCCTGAGTGAACTAAGTGACTTGAAACTAAGTAATTCCTTCGATAATAAGAAGTCGAGCTCCATAAATCATACGGCGAGACGCCTGAAGAATCTTCTCCATTGGCCTAGGAAGAAGGTTAGAAAAGCTGCTAGCATGGAATCGGTGGACGACGATGACCCTTTGGAGGTCATAAGTACTAGTAGAAACTCGCCAGTCAATCATATTCCGCTTCGTGAAAAGTACACGAAATCTTCATCTCTTCTGAGCAATAAGACGATATTTTCACTACCAAGTGATCTTCCGAGCCGATCCAGCAGGAAGATATTCACTGCAGGGCTAACTCACGGAGTGATCCAGGCAGTAACCCCTTTAAAATCACCTCCGAGCCCTTTCTCGGTATCTTCTACCGATGAACAAAAGAGCATCCAGGACGCTCGACTTAAACAGTTGTTCAACGGTAAAAAGACACGAATGATCCCGAAGCAAACTTCGGTCGACAAGAGGCTGATGAACCAGTATTTCTGTTTCGGAACAGAAGGCCTGGTGACCATCGAAGATAATCGAACCCACACACGGCTGGATAGCAGCATCAAGAGTGCCACTTCTTTAGTTGCTTGACACAATGTACATCAATAAACATGCCTAGTTGTATAATATGTTCAAATTTGTTGAAACTGCATATTCCAAAAAACTAGACCATTTTGAAAATTCAACCTTTGACATCCCAAAATCTGTGAAAAGATTCAGATTTCAGTTACTAAAGAGAAATGGCAGCTTAAGAAAACAACTGTCCTCATTATCTTCCTCGAAAATTCAAAATTACTATTAATAGGTTACCAGATGAACAAGCACATGTCGCTTATATACAGCCTACTTCAGCAACTTCCCATTATATACTTTCATCTTAAAGACCCATACAGATTTATTCCGAAGGTTATCCGTTTTCGAGTCCGGTGTAAGGAGAAGTAAAATAATGGTGTCCAAAACCCAGGAAAGCGAACGAGACAAGGCCATCAACGAGTGGCTTCCGGTCACTTCCAACAGGGATGCTAAATGGTGGTATTCGACTTTCCACAATGTCACCGCCATGGTTGGAGCCGGTGTTCTTAGCCTTCCGTATGCCATGGCACAGCTTGGATGGTATGGAGTTTCAGAAAAGTTACATTGATCGATTTTACATTAGTATTTCATCGATCAGCTCGAGATTTAAGTCGATGTTGTTGAACTTTGATGAATTGCAGGGGTCCAGGGTTACTATACTGATTTTGTCATGGGTTGTGACATTGTATACCCTCTGGCAAATGGTGCAAATGCACGAGATGGTACCCGGTAGGCGGTTCGATAGGTACCATGAGCTAGGCCAGTATGCGTTCGGTGAAAAGCTCGGGCTATGGATAATAGTACCGCAGCAATTAACCGTAGACGTCAGTTCCGACATCGTCTACATGGTCACGGGAGGCCAGTCGTTGAAGAAGTTCCATGATCTCGTCTGCCCAAACTGCCCAAAAATCAGACAAACATATTTCATCATGATATTCGCTTCGGTCCACTTTGTTCTTTCCCATCTCCCAAACTTCAACTCCATATCCGGTGTCTCGCTGGCTGCTGCAGTCATGTCATTGAGGTAAACTGAATCACGCGGAAAATGAATGTCATTTTCGTAACGTTAAAGTTTCACCGATCAAATTGGTTTGATTCATGTTATTTTATGCAGTTACTCTACCATTGCTTGGGTCGCTTCGGTAGCAAAGGGTGCTCAACCGGACGTCGACTACTCGTACAAGGATCCGAGCACCTCCGGAAAAGTGTTTGAGTTCCTTGCTGGATTGGGAGAAATAGGATTTGCATATGCTGGTCATAATGTGGTTTTGGAGATCCAAGCAACAATGCCTTCAACTCTTGAAAAACCTTCAAAACACCCAATGTGGAGAGGTGTGATCGTTGCATATATAATAGTGGCGATGTGCTACTTCCCTGTTGCTTTTGTCGGTTTCTGGGCGTTCGGAAACTCCGTCAACGACAACATCCTCTTAACATTAGAGAAACCCATTTGGCTTATTGCTACAGCTAACATGTTCGTCGTCATCCATGTCGTTGGCAGCTATCAGGTACATAAGTACATGCACACATATACATATATACATTTTTATATCGATCATTTCGGATTCGGGTTATGACATTGCAGATATTCGCAATGCCAGTGTTTGATATGATAGAGAGCTTTTTGGTAAAGGAAATGCGTTTCAATCCTTGTTTAAGGCTCCGTTTAATTAGTCGGACATCATATGTTGGTAAATAATCCCATTCCCTCATGATCAAAATCTTGTTTTTTCTTCTTTCTAGTCCTGATGATGATGGTTTTGTTGCAGCATTCACAATGATCATAGCCATTTGCTTCCCATTCTTTGGAGGTCTTCTCAGTTTCTTTGGAGGATTTGCATTTGCTCCAACATCATATTTTGTATGCTTCTTCTTTTATCTTATAACCGGAAGGATCGAAATCGAGATCGATGTCTGGAAGTCACAAGTCTTTGTTTCTTGGTTTTGCAGCTTCCATGCATCATATGGCTCATCATCTGCAAACCCAAAAGATTCAGCTTGATTTGGTTCACAAACTGGGTAATCAAATAAGAAATGAAACAGAGCATTGGTTTAAGAACCTACAGAACATTGAATTGTTGTTTGGTTTTGAATGCAGATATGCATTGTTTTTGGCGTTCTGCTGATGCTTCTATCCCCCATCGGAGGTCTTAGATCGATTATCGTATCGGCAAAGGACTACAAATTCTTCTCCTGATTCCTTCCCAGCATTGTAAAACAGGCATATGGTAGAGTTTTTATTTTATCAGATCTTATTGTCCATAAGTTTTATTGTCAGATGAGAAGGTTTTTCTTATTCATTTTTCATGAAAATCCAATTAGTTTCAAACAAAACTTCACATTGTTCATAAGTTTTTATCGTCAGATAACAAGGTTCAGCTGCTATCGTTAGTGAACCACTGTTGAATATTTTGGTTTCCATTTCGTGTAATTGTCTACACTTCTTTTGAGCCTCAGAGACTCCATGGGTTGGATAGGTTTGGTTTTAGTCAAATTGGATGCGAGATTAATCAACTCAAGTAAATAAAAATTTATTCATATAGACTCCATTCAAGTATTCAATTTAAGGATACCTCTATTTGGGTAGGAATTTTTTTTTAAAAAAAATGAAGATAAAACAAACAGCTGCCCTAAGCTAGACTTCCCTTTGTCTGCGAGCAAGGACATCCCGATTGCAGGCAGTCGCAATAGCATCTGGGGATCCGGAAAGAACTGACATCCGAAAGCTGCAGGTCGAGCCAGTTTCGCCATGCCATCCGCAACAGAGTTATATTGTCGAGACAACCGGTTAAACGCTATTCTCCAATCCCTTTTGATCAGGTTCATCACATGTGGTACCAACAATGAACCACCCCACGCATCGCTTTTTTGGGTAGGAATTTAATTCAATTGAGTTTTAAAAAAATAGTAAAATTTATTAATGTAATTTTATCTAAAAATTCATATAATTTTTAAGTCGAATAGATTTATTAGAATTTTTATTATATTTGAATATAATAATTTATAATATTATGATATTGATTCGTTTCAATTTAAATGATTTTATCTAGCTATAGACAATAATATATACTTTTTCATATTTTTACATGTATAAATAAGATTTATAATTTTATTTAATAAATTAAAAATATTATTAAAATTATATAATATATTTATTTTATTTTTTAAAAATAAATATTTTTTAAAGAAGTGATTTTGAGAAGAAAAAAAGTAAGTATGATAATATAAAGGAGATAAAGAAATTGATAAAAGAAGAAGTTACAAAGAATTATTGTTGATGGACTATATTAAATAAAATACAAAACTAAAGGACAAAATTGTAAAAAAGTTACAATAAAAAGAAATTTTGAAGCTACTATAATTGAGGAACATTTGATTCAGAATTGATCAAAATAGACTTAAAACAAAGTAGGAATTAAAGAAAAAAGAAAACAGGATCGAATAACAAACAACCAAATTATCAAATATAAACTCAAACTCCACATTCGAATAAAAATTTTGAGTTGACTAAATTTTTGTAAAAAAACAATTTTAGAAATGAACACTAAATTAAAATTTTGGGAAATTTTGAAAGGTTTAATATGATTTGTTTTAGGATTTGCCAAATATTTAGGAAAAAAAAAGTAAACCTTAATGAGAGGCCATCCAAAACCTTCATGAGGGACTTTAACTAAAAATATTGAAAAACTTTGAACATATGAATTTTTAAAAAGGATTAAAATAAACAGAAAAGCAATAAGTAGGCTATCCAAAAGCTGAATATACTAGGCAGGCAGCAGAACAACATAGAAAGAACTATTATCATCTAAATCCATATAGTTTCCCAGTTTACACTACTAACAAACTAGAAGTGCAAAATCCAAGTGACATAAACCCATTAAACAAAGGAACTCAATCTATTGATCCCTTCCCTGGGCTGGCTTTTTGGAATTATTAATACGACGAACCTTTACAAAAGCTTTCGACAAGTCCTGAAACAAACAAGCGATTTGTTTTAACAGATTGACTACTAAATGATGTTTTGCATTTGCAGAAAAATGCTACAGAAAGCAATTAAGGAAGGGAAACAGAGTGAAAATAAAAAGAGGATATTGGTTGTTCCTCTCAAATGAACCATTTCAAGAATCATGTATAGGCTATGGGAAATTAACTTATGAAGTTCATTTCTACACCAATAAAGGAAGAGAGACCCTCTGAAGATTAAAAAAGAAGAAGAGGATATTAAGTACTCTTCTCAATTTTAAACGAACCATTTCAAGATTGATCTCTAGATTCTAGACTAGGAGTGAGCAAAATTCGATTCAAGTTGAAAAAATCGAATTAACACATAAAGTTCATTTCAACAGTCCCAAGGGTGAAATGCGACCAATATATGATTATTTTCTTTTCAAACACGGTGAGTAGAATAGAGCAAGTCCAGCGGTATGACCCTAATTTTACTTTCAGGTACTTCATCTGAAATATGTTATGCTTAGGACTGCAAATGAGATGAGAAAGATCGTGAGCTACTCAAGATCGACTCGGTTAAAGTTCGATAAACACTCGACTGGAATAGAATCGAGTCGAGCTCGAAGCTTGATATGTATTCTATTGGAATGGACTCAACTCAAGTTCTTAACAAACAGAAATGAACTACTAGATATTCGAATCAAGATTTTATTTTTTTAAAAATAAATTATTAATAATATTAATATTTATGTGTTGATTTTTTTTAAATACAGTATAAGGTTTTCATGTATTTAATGTTCGAGTTCGAGTTTGAGGCTTCAGTCAAGTTAAGTTTAAGATTTTTTTCATTTCGAGCTTTTACGAGTTTCAATTCATGATTTTGAATTCAAATCGAGCTTGAAAATTTTAGACTCGCGAGTTTTCAAGTAGAGTCAAGTTCAATTTCAGAGTTTTCGAGTCGAATCGAACTCAACAATACTCGAACTGGACTCAGCTCGTTTACATCCCTAGCTATGTTCGACAAAATGCTTGCTAAAACAGCTAATCAAAATCTAGACATGTCCTCAGCCATATTCGAAGTCAGGTTAGAATTCTATGGCCTACTATTGTCAAACATGAATGATTTTCCAAAATGTTATTGTTATAACTCTGGAGTCAAATGCTAGATGGTACACCTCCGGAGCCAAATATTTTCCCCTCCAGCCGGTCATTAACTTTTGACAAGACTATCGACAGAAACAAGAAATCTGATAAGACCCAAATCAACTAATTGGCGGCCGCATTCAATTTGTCGGCCTACGAACAACAATCATAATTACAACACACATAAAGGTTCAATATATAAATATCTATGGTAGGAAGGAGAGAATCTTCTTCTTCTTCCTTTTCACAAACTCTCTCTAAGACCTCTCCCTCTTCACATTTTTCATTACATACATGACCAACCAATGGTCGCTAAATCACCGACCGCGAATCTCCACTCAAACCAAAAAAATTGAACCGCAAATGACAGACACAACAACCCATTTGTTTTCATCGACAGTTATCAAGAGGTGTAACCCCACAAAACCGAGGGGATTGAAGAAGAGGAGCATTTGTCAGATATTAAATGGAGAAGCTAAACCTGACTACATGCGGTTATCCATGACCTAAACAGCTCTTGTAAAATATTGACATCGAAAGATTAAGTGTTCATCATTCATCATTGTAGATCAAAGGATACAAATTTACCTCAATTGGCTCCTTCTGGGCTGTCTTTGAAGTCCAAATATTTTCCAAATTGTAATACACTCTTGCCTTCTCGTCCAGAGCATGAACTATCACTCTACCTAAACAAAGCAACATTTCAGAAAAATAAATCATCAAGTGTACAATATAAAGAATTGGAATATTGGATACAGTTATTCCAGAATATTTTCCTAGAACTAAAACTGTTAACCCCAAGGAAAATCATCAACGAGATCGATTCCTTCAAAGCAGCTAAATGCATAAACAAATGAAACATTTTGATTTTTTCATGAAAATCATCATCATCAACAGTATCTTCGTTATTTTAACGAAATTACTAAGAAACAACAAACTTGGAGTTGAAAAAAGAGGGAATGCAGCACGAACCAGAGTCTATGACAATCCATTTTCCCGTCTCTTGGCCTTGCACACTGGGTAATACCATCCTCTTAGCTCCTTTTTGCTTCTGCTTAACCTGTTCCAGCAAATAGATATAAGAATAATCGTATTGAAGATCGAAAAAAGTTGGAAACCAAAAGAAAACCACAAAATCGTACCTTGTAGATTAGGGCTTGGGCGATGTTCTTGACGTGCCACGGGGACCTCCCGGTGGCAATCACCATGAAATCGGCCCAATCGCATTGGTTCCCGACCGGAACCACCGACACGTCATCTGCTCTGACGTCGCTTAGAACCTTCTCCACCTCTTGCAGGCTCAGCAACTCCTTGCTTATTCTTTCCGCAGTGGATGAAGAAAAGGACTGATTTAATCCTGAAAACCCTAGCTTCCACAACCCATTTTTGAGAGAGGACGAAGATAACGATGTTGCAGATGGGTGCAGATATCGGGATCTTAAAGTCGCCCACATCAGATTGCAACTCCTGAAACTTTTTGAACTGACAATCGCCGCTTCCTCGAGCTAATGCCTTCAGGCTTTCTGCCAAGTTTGAGGGGGATTTTAATATTTGAGTAAATTATACCGGTGATCCTTTATCTTTTACTTTTTTTTTTAATAATTCTGATTTTATTATCCAAATCAAGGTTTAGTTACAACCAATCTACCAATCTACAATGAAAGAATGAAACCGCCTATAAAATGATTGGTTAGACAATACCCCAATCATTACAAAGCATTAAATTAGTACTATCAAGTCTATTAATATTAGTTCCCCTAAGACGGATTCCAACAACGTATTTAACATCTTTGAGCAAGCAATCGATCGTTCTACTCCGTCCTTAGAATATTCTCTGGTTTCTTTCCTGCCATAGAGAGTAGATAAAAACATTCCAATAAAGTTTCAAAATGGTGGTAATTAGAGACTTCACTTTCCATGATGAACATGCCTTTGAAACCAATTCTTCCCATGAGAAGGAATTGGTATTCATCTCATTAAGTTTCAAAATTGTATACCATAGTTTCACTGCCAGAGAACATATTTTTGACTTATCTTATTTTCATCATTGATTTAAAAATAATTGTGTTTTGTCGCTTTTTATTAGGTAAACTATGCGGATAGTCCCCTATGTTAAGAGTCTGATTGATTTTGGTCACCAATTTAAAAATTAAGGGGAAATGTTCTTTAATGTTATTGATTCACTCGATTTTAGTCCATCAACCATTAATTTTTGTTAACCCCTTTTTTCTAAATCCCTTTTGTTTAAGTCCCTAACATGGCTAAGAGACTAAAATGAATCGATAATGTTATGGACTAAGACCGAACGGATCGATAACATTAGGGATTATTCCCCCTTAATTTTTAAATTGGTGACCAAAGTTGGTCAGACCGAAAAACACAGGGGACTATATGTATAGTTTACCTCTTTTTATTTTAGGTAAAATATATAAATAGTCACTTTGGTCTGAGTTTTATAAACTTCTTCTCATTAAATTCAAAAAACATAAGATTTGGTCACTTTCTTTTTGTTTTGATTAGGATGTGGTCACTAAATGTTAACGGTCCTTAAACCTTTAACTGTTTGTTAACGTGACACAGTAAATATATAAAATTATAATCACATCATTTCCACATAGATAATGTGTGAATTAAGTTTTGGTCACTTTCTTTTCATATTTGTATATTTTTGTCACTTTCTTTTCATATTTGTATATTTTTTGTCATTTTCTTTATTGTTTTATTAAGCTTTTGTCACGTTATCATTTTATTAAGTTTTTGTCACTTGGACGTTGAATATCATTAGTCTGATGATGTGACCCATTAGTAAAATAATTTAATTTTAATTTAACCCCTAAATTTTAGAATAAATATTGATTATGGGTTTTTTTTGTAAATTTTATAAAACTCAAACAAAAGTGATTATTTCTCTAGTTTACCCTTTTATTTTTAATCAATTTGTAAATGTTTAATTATAAAATAAGTGTCCAAACTATACAATTTTTCTCATATAGGTGCCCAAACTTTTTTTTATTTATACAAGTGTATAATCTTACAATCGTTACCACTTTATGTGTCTAAGCCATAATGGTCGTTAAATGACATGTGTCTTTTGTAGAATTTAAAAAATATATTTTAAGAATAAAAATATTTTTTAAAAAATATTTAAAAATAATTTCCCCCAACCCCACCTACCCACGCGCCCGCTTCCCCAATCCACCCACGCATCATCCCCCTTCTCCCATTTTCCTATCGAAAAATAAACTGCAACAAGAGCAGCATCGGTGTTATTCCCCTTCTAATCCCCGCGTATGAACCCCCATCATCGCATATAAAACATCGACAAGTAAAGTTTTCAATTTGATTGAGATTAATTAGGGGTTTAGGGTTTTGATTTGAGGATTTGGGTATAAAGATTTAGGATTTCGACAACAACGTTGGGGTTTTCAGGTGGTTGGTCATCGGTTAAATGACCGACGACTAGAGACGTGTTCGGGAGTAGGCTCGATCGATGGTAACATCGGCTAAAGCGGTAGTCGACGTGGGTTATAAGATTAAAATTAAGATTTTTAAAGTTTGAGTTAAAAAGTTGAAAATTTTGGGCTTTTTAAAAAAAATATTTTAAGTTTTTATTTTAAATGAAATTTTCAAACTTATCAGAACATGAGATGTGTCACTAGACAGAGTTTACCCTTTTATTTTTAATCAATTTATAAATGTTTAATTATAAAATAAGTGTCCAAATTATACAAATTTTCTCATATAGGTGCCCAAACTTTTTTTTATTTATACAAGTATATAATCTTACAATCGTTACCACTTTATGTGTCTAAGCCATAATTGTCGTTAAATGACATGTGTCTTTTGTAGAATTTAAAAATATATATTTTAAGAATAAAAATATTTAAAAATAATTTCCCAACCCCACCTACCCACGCGCCCGCTTCCCCAATCCACCCACGCATCATCCCCTTCTCCCATTTTCCTATCGAAAAATAAACTGCAACAAGAGTAGCATCGGTGTTATTCCCCTTCTAATCCCCGCGTATGAACCCCCATCATCGCATATAAACATCGACAAGTAAAGTTTTCAATTTGATTGAGATTAATTAGGGGTTTAGGGTTTTGATTTGAGGATTTGGGTATAAAGATTTAGGATTTCGACAACAACGTTGGGGTTTTCAGGTGGTTGGTCATCGGTTAAATGACCGACAACTAGAGGCGTGTTCGAGGGTAGGCTTGATCGATGGTAACATCGGCTAAAGCGGTAGTCGACATGGGTATAAGATTGAAATTAAGATTTTTAAAGTTTTGAGTTAAAAAATTGAAAATTTTGGGCTTTTTAAAAAATATTTTTAAGTTTTTTATTTTAAATAAAATTTTCAAACTTATCAGAACATGAGATGTGCCACCAGACGGAGTTTTCTAACGACTATTACGGTTGGGGAACCTAAAGTGATAACGTTTGTAATGTTAAACACCTGGACAAATCGAAAAAAATTGGGAACCTGTTTGAAAAAAACGGTATAGTTTGAACACTTATTTTATAATTAAGCCCTTTGTAAAAATGGTTAAATTTTATCTTTAACTCTCAAATTTTATTAGAATATTAATTTGATCTTAAATTTTATATAAAATATTTATTTAACTCCTAAATTTTAGATAAAGTATAAATTTAACCCCTAAATCTATCAAAATTCTTGTTATCGACCATTAGTCGTCACCAATCACCATCAATTTTTGTTACCGATCACTGATAACTCTCCAAAAGAAATATTATTTAGGGCCTTTATACTTAGGTTTAGTTTGAAATTTAATATTATTCGAGTCATTTTCAGTTTATTTTTAACATATTTTGCATAAATTACATATTGGGAGTGAGTTGTTGTTTCTTGGACTGAAATTGATATTTTTGTTATAAATTGCCACTCTAATGTTGTGACATTGTTTGATGCTGCAGATGTTGTTGGGAGTCAATGCCAGACACAGCAATTGATGAGTTATCAGGAAGTAATGGAATTTTCTAGAATCGAACACGTGCCCATTCTAACTGTAAAATGGTGGGAAAATAAAAGAAAATTATAAATGGGACTTTTGGAATATGCTTTGATCTTTAGGGCTTTAAATGGGACATTCCTTCACATTTTTGACACCTTCTTCTTTCTCCATATTTTTTCTTCATTTTTATTGAATTTAGCTTATAAATGAAAGCTGCCTATCATGTGGTTCAATCAAAAGATTTTTAAAAAAAATCGCTCAGATTGCATACTGCATCTTGAACAACATCAATCATTGTGAAACAGTGAGCAGTATAAAGAAATTTATGTATCTGATTGTCATGACAATGTTTGCAGCTTACTTGGTAGAGACATGGATATATAAATCTATTGTGTCTGTGTTGGTTAGTATTTGAAGAAAATAAAAAGGATAACCTGTTGAACAATGTTTGACACGCAAGTATATTGTTACAACATCATTACGTTGCATGTACTATTTAACAGCATCATATTTGGTTCACCAATCAATTGCTCCATCAATGTTAGCTACATTCTCTGTCATTCTCATATGATTTTATTATCTTTGTCACAACATTATTACAACACCTCAATTTATTCGTATTTTTTATACTTAAGTTGACAATTTTAATTTGTAATCAATTATTCTATGTGGGATTCGGCACTCGACATGATGATTTATGTGTATTTTATTATAGCGGGGTTCAAATTTTTTTTTCATAAATACAATTTCTTTTCATTGAGGGTTGATAATTTTTATGCATTTATTTTTAAAAATATAATATTTTTCTATATTAATTAATAATTAAAAATATAATTGATGGGGACAAACTCTCCTTGCCCCCTTGGTTCAGCCCCTAGTTATTGAACAATCCTCTCAATCAAATTTATTCTATTCATAGATATTCGAACTCTTAAGTCTTAAAAGTAAAAAAGATAAACCGTAAAAATTCCTCACAATTAATGGAAGCCTTCTGTAACTATGGTGTCTCTTCATTCTGTTTAGGTCAGCCATTAATCCATTTATATCAATAATTTCACCATTATTCAACCCAAATGCATTAAAATGGAACTAAACATGTTTTCTGTTATCTTTAAGATATAATATATGATATTATGTTTCTTCAATCTATTCAAAATAAATTTAATTAATTTTATAAATACATAATATTTATCTGATTCTCATAATACTCAATAATAAATCGATTTTATATTTTTTTTTACCTAAGGTGATACTTCAATTTGTTAACGTTGTATGAAACAAACAATTATTACCAAAATTCTTCTTTCACCAACGTTACAAAAAAACGAAGACGGGAATAGAAAGCCTTTTTGAGTGCTAGCAGACAGGATGGAATAAGGTGTTTCGCACCTCAAAGCACAGAGTTAGGTTGGCTTTTGACAGAATGACACGTGTATTGTCGTCTACCTTTATTCTGGCAGCTTGATTTGCTTTTGGAGAGACATCCCACCTTGAAAAAGCCAAGTCCGACATGAAAAAAAAATCTAAAGGTTTTCACTACCGTCCA